GGGATCGAGACGTTAGCTGACATTGTTAAAGGGCCACGGAGAGGAACGTAGTGGTAATGACCGGCTAAGGAAAGGATTACAGTTAATGATGAGTACTCACAGTATGCAGTTTGATCAAGGAGGAGAGTAACTTCCCAAAGTCAAGTCCCTATTGTGAATCCCTTCGAATTAGGGATTTATTTCATTGTAGTTGCTGAATTCCCAATAACCAACAAAATCTTGCAATTTCTTGCTATCTTGTTATTCCTCAATTTTGAGAAAGTCCTGCGATTTGTCCCCGCGTTCACCACCACTGAAGCCATACTGATGACGCTGTTGAATAGCGGCTGTTGTAGTGTCACGGTCGGGGGAGCGCAGCCTCCCAGGTGTATCTACATAGCGGTTATGTCGCCCCTTATATTGTGTTTGTTGTTCTAAAGAGGTGATCTCTATTCCTCCAGCGCGTGGTTGTGTCCAATCAGCCTGACTTAATCCTGCGCTCTGATCATGACCTCTATGGTGGGCACTCAAACGTCATGTTTAATACATCCCGTCTCAGGAGCTGGAGGAGGAGGGTCTTCCAGTTGTGTGTTATTTTTATGTATACCTTTCATGGCTTTATTGTTCCATGAGCATTCACCATTCGCGGCACTACCAATTGGTGTCAGACGCCACTCCAGGCAGACCTTTCCCTGCCATCGTGATGGACTCATGCTGCTCTTGGTTGTGGTGCTGCTGTGTTCATTATCACTGCCATCGAATCTATATGCCAATAATACCGTCGAGAGAGGTTGTGGGAGGAGCTTCGTCGAGATGCTTATTAGACGCCATCACGCCTCACTTGTTAGGACCGTCTTGGCAAGGTAAAGTCTTGGCACCGCTTTCATTTTTGGCTATATTGTTAATACACTTTCCTACAGTTTAGCGGTAGTACCCTCAGACTGACACCCGATAGTAGCGGTAGTACCCTCGCTGTTTCTTTCTGTGTGCCCGGTCAGAGATGATGAACGTCCCATCCATGACTCGCTTAATCTACCATGCCAAACTTGTATAATTTAGTTTCCACTCAAAAGGAGTTTAGCTGCCTCAATGCTTGTGTTGCAGTGGTCAATGCTGGCTGGCTTGGGCTCGTCTATTTCTGAGCGTCTCTCGACGAGAATGACCAACAACAGCGCCCATCATCAGCATAGAATTGCGAGGTCATCTATTGTACCATTGATATGCTTCACCACCATTTGGATCATTTCTTCGGTTGGTCAGGTGAGTCCTGCTCGCGGCTCTGTAACGACTATCATTGTGACGTGGTAGGTCGTATTGGTCAAGTACTTCCAAACTAACTTGCATCCACAGCTGCCATGGCTGCTTGCCGATCTAGCTGGCGTTGGTTTTGTATTCGTCATCCCTATTTATATAATCTTCTGTATGAGAAGGGTCAATGTCGAACGGGGTGAGTCGGGCGGCACTTACGATAGGAAGGTTGATGAGGCTGGTTTGCCAGAAAAAGAGGAGAACCCTTCAACATTGATGGATCTGTTCATGGCGCCATACAGGACTGGCAGGATTAAGTGGCATGTCTTGGGAGGGCTCTTCACTGGCTGCCAGCTGTTGTGCATCTCGGTAGGATTTTCTGGATTGCGGATTCCCATTGTCGACGGTTCGTCCTCCTCCAGTTCGCATTGAAGATGTTGCCGGGCAGTACTTTCACCGTGGTCCGCACATGTGAGTTGCTCATCACGTTAGTGACTTCGATACTCCTATTGGGAAAGTAAGCGTCAGTCAGTCTTGGGCTTGGCTCAGTAGTGTGTCCCTCGTAGGGTCTTCAATCGCTACCACTACGTAGCGGTAGCGGCTATGCTCATCGGTGGTGCTATTGACTCGTTCGCTACGCAGCATGACGAGAAGGTCTCTAAGGACAATGTTCAGGTTTTGGCAGGTGTGCTCATCACCTTCTTCGGTGAGTATTACTCGCAGTTCGAATGGTCGCGAGGATTGGTTCGTTAGGTGTGGCGCTGGCGAGCTCCTCTCAGGCAGTTCTGGTCGAGTGGCTGTATCGTCACAACATCATGATTAAGAAGCGATATGACCATTTGATGGAAATCTCATTGTAGTGTGGATAATTTTGTGGCGCGTGACGGTTTTGATAGGTACACTACGTTCTACACGTGTGTCGCTCTGATGATTGGTACGTTCTTGTTCTCCGGAGACGAGCCCCATTACTGGTCCCAAGCGCTCAGTGTGAGTCACCTCTACTGCTGCTCGTCAATGTTTTCGGAAAATTTCTAAGATTTTTTCTGTCACTTCAGGAAGCGATTCGAACTGCGCCTCTGACCACCTGGTTATGCCTCATCGGTTTGACCATGTCCCGTGCGGTGGCTATGACTTCGAAGGTCGGCGTGACGGTGCATTCGGATGCTATGTTCAACCGATCCCTCACTACGGTGAGGAGAGTCTGCCAGGTGGGCTCTCCGGACGGGGGAATGCGGCCTCGATTTGCCATTTTCAGATCACTTTTATGGCGGTCATTTTTCATGAGCATCTGAGTATTCTGGCGTTATTCGGCATTTTCCTGAGTGTTGCAGCTAGCAGTCTGTACGCTTTCGCTGGTGAGCCCGGGCTTTTGTGGTGACTGGTGTACTGATTGTCGTTACTTCAGCAACCCTTGGGGCTCGCAGGAGTGCGAGTGTCGCCGTCAAGGAAGACGTGGTTGCCTCCCACCTCCAGGAAAATCTTCTTGCGGGAAAAGCCCCTTGAAAGGCGCTTGTCTGAAAGGGCGCCTCATTTTTCCCATCGTGACAGAAGCCGTGAACGAGAAGTCATATTGTTGGTATCATCATCGTCGTGATGTACCGCATTGTTTTTTCTCATTTTTCCCAAATACCTGGCTTAGGCCGGTGAGGATCATTGCTTGTTGGGGAGCTCGCGTCCAGCAGCGACCTAGCACTTAATTGAAGATCCAGTAGTGGCAATACTGTTGAGTGGTAGTCACGGGTTCTCGGGGGTAGGCAATCATCATGAATTCGGATTGGACTCGATCGTCGAGGGGGCTGCAGTGGTATGGCTTAGTCGAATCAGCTTCGTATGTAGGAGTGCTAGGACGTGTTCCCATAATAGAATGATGTGCTTGGACGGAGTGCGCCGATGGAAATTTGGTAGTATGAGAGAAACACCAGCCGGGCTACTTACGGTGGGGTTATTCGGCTAGAGCACTGAGTGTGTTATAAATGCCACGCAACGTTTCGTAGATTTGCCTCCCTAGCGAAAAGTGTAATCATATTTAGTGATCTGGTATGGAGTTAGGACGTATATGATAATGTGAATATTTCGTGACCTTTAACCCACCTTTTGCGTGCATGGGGTATGGGTGCTCTGCAATCACATTCGCTAGGTGGCAGTTACTGTATGCTTACTGTCAGTGCGTTGAATTTATTATATGCCTGATGGTCACAAGTCTGGTGATCAACCCAACGCTGGTGGAGGACTTGAGGACTAAACAGAGGTGGGTAGGATAACGAGTAATGATGATTCTAATCGTGCACTTGGCGGTACTGTTGTGAACAGTAGTGCTTATAGCCAGATTTGACTTCGGGTGGAAACTCGAAAAGGGTCGTCTCAACAGTGCGTTATGGAATGCAAAGACCCCTGTAGTAGTAGTTCCCTGTGTCTACAGTGTCGTAGCGGATCGCGAGGAAGCCAGTGTACGTGGTGTACTAGGCAGGTACCCTCTAGCGGAGGCGCAGGAGGTGTTTCTTCTACGGAGAAATAATATTGTGTTTTCGGCCAGAGGGCCGTCCTTTGGTGAACTGAGGGCTACGGGTGATGCGTACATGACGAGCAAAAGGCTGGTACTGTTTGCATGCAACATCGAGATGCGTAATTTCACAGTAATTGAATTCCCCATAGGTATTCGTGATTGGCAAGGACGGCAGTGGTAGTCGGCCCGACTTCTACTCCGCATCGGTCGCTCTTGAGGCATGGAGAGATCCTAAATTCCGGCAACCTGTCTTTGGAGCCAACTTCCTGGAAGGTAGCGATTGGAGTGAGCTGCTCAGCACTTCATCATTTT